AAACGCAAAATCTGTCAACTGAAACGCTGACACCCCTGTACCACAGATGAGTTGTAAATTGAATAAGTTTGCCATGTTATGTAGTTGACTTGACCTTTAAAGAGGTAACGTCTTTCCTTGTATAACTAAAAGTTGATATAATTCAAATTCAAAAGGTTTCTTTTAACTACACATAGAGCTTCAACTGGATGGTAGGACTATATAAACTAAGAGGGTTGAACATTTTTTAATCTAAGGAATTTTGCTGACAATATTATGCATAAGGTATATATGAATAGAATAACATTCATATTGGTTTTTTTTTTAAATTACAGCGAGCAAAGCTTGACGAATTTAAAGAATCACTTGGTGTAGAGGTGATATTTGAAAAACGACCTCCTCGTATTAGACTATCAGGTTTGCCTGTGAATGTTAAAAAAGCTTCAAATGAGATCGACCACATGATTATGGATATTCAAAGATTGCATCTGACGAAAGAGAAAGAAAAGATCACCGCACAATGCGTTGAATGGTCAGTAATTGCGGAATGCAATGACGGTAAAAACTTCCTACCTTATCCAGAGGAACTTAACCATCAGATCGAAAACGACTACCAACAGCAACGCCCAAAAAGTACATTTTGTGACGAGAAAGGTACCTGTTACGAAATTGACTTTTCAGCTATGGAAGAATATCCCGTCAATGACCAGAACGACCGAGCGACAGTTTTACGTAAAGACAAGCTACAGCCGACCAAAGGTAAGTAAACGTTTTGTAAGTTTGATGGTCGACAGATAATTTACTAACGGAGTTATATCACCGTAACAACTTCAGTTCTATCATTAAAAGAGTCTTTTTATTAATCACTTTAAATTTTAATCTTAGATGCCCGTCTTCAGCCTCCGACGACATGGACCCCGATGACCGATCAGGACACAATTACCGTTGTACCGATTCAAGCAACTGATGCCGAGTATACAGACGTGTTAAAAGATTTCTACGTTACAATTGGAAATATGAATCCCACAATAGTTAAGGTGGGTTTTACAGTTTCAAAAGAGTAGAACACGGTTCGTTTGAAGAAAATATTACCTCAAATAATTTGGAAATGAAAATAGTTGAGAATGTTTTGAAGAAACCATTTGATTACGTTCACATTGGCATACATACCAAAATTGTTAACCAGGTTTCTTACTTTTATTTCAATAGATTGAAAGAATACAAAACAAGACACTGTACCATCAGTATATGACTAAAAAGGCAGAGATGGACCGAAGCTGCAGCGGACAGAGTGAAAAAATGCTGTGGCATGGAACTGCAGAGGGTGCTGTAGACAGTATCAACATGTATGGCTTCAACCGCAGCTTCTGTGGGAAAAACGGTTAGTGTAATAATGCATTCCATTTTAACCTCGACTTCTAGAGTTTATGTATGACACCTTCATAATAACATTAGTATGATTACAAGTCCCCTCAGCATATAAACAAAGAAAACGTAATGACTTTTCAGAAAAAATACACATTGTTTTCAACTTATCATTACAGCAACTGTACATGGCGACGGTGTATACTTTGCGTGCAACTCCGAGTATTCAGCCAGAGACACATACTCACCTATTAACCCAGCTGGACAGAAAAAGATGTACAGATGCCGTGTCCTCGCAGGGGACTTTACACAGGGACGAGGAGGAATGCGTGTCCCTCCAGCAAAGAAAGGTCACATTCTATACGACTCTGTAGTCGATGACACGAACAATCCAAATATGTTCATCATTTTCAACGACACCCAGGCTTACCCTGAGTACTTGATAACATTCACAAAATAGACAAGGCTGACATCAACCAATTCCATTGATGTATATAGAAAATACTATACGTGACAAACAAGACTATGAGGAATTGTAGCTATGTTTGAACTAAGTTTCCAAGGTATTGAAGCTTTTTTTCCGTTTCGTCATAACAATCAGGAATCATCCGCTTTGTAAATGCTAGTTTATACATTCTCTTTTAAGATAGGGAGGTGATTTTGACCAAATTCCTCGTAGATTCATTTACTATACTTCAGCTATATGCATGTGAGGACATTTTATCCTGATAATTATGTGGAGATGATGATTGTTATAAACTGTCATATGAGGCTTATTGATTTTTCGAGCTTACTGTAACAATATGTTTAAAGATTGTAAATATTGAATATGAAATAACTGAATTAGGAATTCGATTTCGATAATGTTTGAGTACATGCCGAAATGTTATTGGTTCTGTGTAAAAATATCAAGCACGTATATAGTGGTGTATTCTTCAATGTCTTGTCCAAAAGGGATTTCGGAGAGTTCTTTGCAGTGTAAGGGGTAAACCAACCATATAAATAACTAAAAGCGTGATGAAATATCCACTTAGTAAAGGGTAATTTTGACAAAAAGCAAAAACGTAAGATTGTACTTTTTTGAATAGCTCACTAGTTTATATTCAGATTTGTTTTACATTTTGAATCATAGTTATACATATTGTTCTTATTCTTCATTATCACTTGATGAAAAACTAACAGCACTATATTTCTTTCAACATCTTGATTAAAATTATTCCAAACACTACCACACCTTACACAAACCATCACTTTAGAGCGTTAATGGATGGGATGATATTGTTTGGTCTGTTTCGATTTAAGATGAGATCATAATTAAGGATACATTTGTCATAACATCAGTGACATTATAAGTTATAATTTTATTACTTGCTTATGCATCATGTTTATAACACTTGCATATATTAACCAATAAGCCCATATGTAACAGATTAAAACTTACATGTAGTTATACGATAAGTCATAAATACGATGAACAATATAGTAGATTTTAAAATCACGTGTAACATTGATTGTACTTTACATTTTATTAGAAGTGCATGTAGTTAGTGGAGCTTACGTATTTGAAGTGATTTGTTTCAATTACATGTCTCTTTGTTAATTAATGTTTGGCACTTCAATAATGGTACGGAAATTGACACAATCTAAGAAAATATACTGTATTTATATGTAGATGAGTGGTCATGGTGAAATATATTACAGGTGTACAGAAGGTGAGACAGTAATTTGAAGTACAAGCTATTCCAACCTAAGTTAACACCTTTTAACACCAAATTGGCCGACAAATAGATTTACATACATTTCACGCACGGATATTAATCTTGCATTTTCACACCAGATCTATACTGTGTGTATGTAAGCTGTTAAGGATACCCATGACACTGCTAAATGTAAATATGCGTTAGTGACTTTTAACTGCATCACTATAGCTTCGATAAAAAAATCATTTCTGGAAAGTAAACAATAATTTGCGGAAGTTTTACAAAACAAAAACTAGCGATTTGTGACAGTAACCCTTCACAATTATTACCATCATTGCCGATTAAGTTGGTTACTGATAGCAGTTACATATAAGACCTGTCAGAAAACTGTAACACTATTTGTTGAAATATATTTGAAGTGGCCATCAAACTATCCCTGTATTGTTGTAATAAACATAGCGTAAATATATAACCATGGTACTGTACCACTATTCATTTTTGTAACATATATATCGCCTGTTACACTGTATAACCAAAACGTTATTTTGAATTGTTATAAAGTCGCATAATGAACACTATGATTAGAACGCTATTTGCTTATTTTAGTTAAAATGTATTGCCTGTTATAACAAACAAACAACTATTTATTTATTGTTGTAACAGATTATAAACCGTTATAACCAAAACTGTATTTGTTAATTAATTAAACAACTATGTTTGAGTGGGTGGATATCACACATTACAGTGGTTTTGGCAAGGACATTCGCATTAATATGTCGTTACCAGGGAAGAATGATTCTCAATATGTCCCGTGATTATATGTTATTTTTACCAGATATCATCACTATGATATCTTTTTGTGAGGTTTATTCCTGTCATATTTTTTCGTCATCATAATATATAGAAGACCATTTTCAAACGAATATGATGACCTACCCGTAATAATGAAATGTTTTCCCATACCCAAGCGATCATTCTGTCTTGCACTTTACTGAAGTCATGCATTGACATAGTTAAAAAAAACTAAGGTATAGTTATCGAAAATAATATTCAGGATCAGGTCTTCGAAAACTTGTGGATATTAATAATACTATCTCTCAGCTGAAAGTTACAGTGTACACTGAATATAGTTGATCCAGGTACGGAATTATATTTCCGTTATTCAGGAATGTATTGATTGAATGTGTAACTTCTCTTTCGGAGAATTGATGTCTTTATTTGTCAATTGATGATTTTATCTATACAACATATATTGGTTGCTGTCATTACTTACACTGTTTTGTAAATAATATATAAATACGTAAAGGGGCGTGTCAGAATGGGTACACGTAATGAACAGGATATCGTATAAGTCGTCCCACTCTGACGTCACACGTCGTTCCGTGTCTCGGTCACTACACATATCATTGCATCAAATTACCGTAAAATATGAAATTATATCATCGTGGCCATAATTCTTTAAGTCTTTTACAACGATTTTGATTTTGTTTTTTTACAATTACAACTAGATTGTATTTGCCGTGCAAACTTCAGCTTATACAACATGTCAATAGTTGGATGTATCATCGAACTTGGCCCATATAAAGCATCCTATATTTTAATAATAATTTCAGTTCATAAAATTATGTTTTTAAATTACCACTTTGGAGTTTTTGCCGAAAATAAGATTCAAAATCAATGTTCATATAAAGACAATCTCATAATATGTATATGAAATGTGAAATCGACATAGAATAGAATAAGCATCTTTGATAAGATTGGCAATTGTTATCATCATCCGACTCTTGAGATTCTCCAATCTGAGTCTTTTTTCTGACAATTTTCTTGAAATTACAATCAGATTATATTTGCCGTACACACTGAAGCTTATTAGACATGTCAAAGGTTGGATATATATAATCGATCTTAAAACATATGAAGCGTTTTGTTTCATAATAAAAGATTTTGATTTCAGATAATAAACAACTGATTAAAAATGATATTTTCGTCGGAAATATAGTAATTGATGAATAAAACTGTATCTTAAATGACATGTTTGATAATTAAGAGTTGTTTTAAGTGTTTATTATTATTATCATAACCAGAAAGCATTGTATGTTTTACATCCCTGCCGATATGCTGTGTAAATCCATCGACGGGGATTTCCTGCTGAGAGATCTCCCATACGGGTGGTATCGCTAGATAATGACGCAGATGTCTGTATAATCAATGTTTAAAGTTTAAACACATATATATATATGTATGGAAACTGCTGATATCAGTCTAGGATTCTAATGTAGAGGTAAATACATTAAACCGTTTGTTATCAAATAACTCAAATATGAAATATTTATCGATGTTTAATACCTTCTATTAGGGTCGCTAAGTATTTTTGTTTTTCCCTCGCCAGTAGAATTCCTAGCGTATGACGCAGACTTGTTTGATCGTTTTATATATAAGCGATAGGTCCCTGTTGATTTTCGTTATATTTCAAATTTATTTACGTTAGCTTCCAGAGCTTTACCTGTTAGGTTCTTTTGAGTATCCTCGTACCGCTGCTAAAAACAGTAACTTTGATTAGAAACTTTTATCTTATATAACAATGGCGTAAATAGATAAATAAAGGAACAAATATCGTTGGAAACTTTTATGGAAAATGATAAATACAAAATGAAAAAAAATCAACAATAAAATTCGGATATTGAAAACACTGGCATGGACTTCCAATCAAAATATGGTCTCTGTAACAAACTGAGCTGTTACTTATTAGGGGTAGCTACCTCGCTTATAATTCAATTACAGCTTTATCTAAAACGAAATTAAAGGGAGACAACTCTATGCATGGAAAAATAATCTTCTTGTTTTGCCTGCGGTGGGACAGGGATCCTTAATCGTATGAGCCTTATAAATAGTTTGACAGTGATAGTTGACTTACTGTAGCTAATTATTAATCAAAGCTAAAGATGATCGTATTTCGTTATTTTCTGGCATGTTTTGTTTCATGAAGTTGTGGTATGAAAGGAATTTTTATACTGTCTTTGGTACTCGAAAAATTCTAATAACGTTATATATTTTTGTTAACTTGGACATTTTTTCGAAAATCAGCGGGAACCATTATTTCTGTAAGATGCTTATAATTTATATAGTATCGGCTTTAAGGCGTGTGCATTTTCTTCGCAAAACCATTCCTTTCAATCTAGTTGGACTTTGCAATTTTCACATATGGTGACTTACATAACCTCACAATTACTACGAATGGGGTTTCTGAATAAAATTCACATTTTATTCCTTGTTAGCAGCATACATTCCAATTATTCAATATCACTAAGTTTTACATAAGTTCCCATTCTGGTTGGCGAAACAGAAGAAAATTTGAAAAGACAGTATACAGTTTCCCTACTTGTGTCTAACAACCAATTTCTTTAATTGTCAATTCCGAGAAAAAGTATTTGAATATTGTAAACCCTGACTCTTCGTTTCTCTTTATCAGCACATCGCAAGTGCTGTGCACAAAAAAACGTAACTTTCAGTTTAAAATTACATTAAATTTATATATTGCTTTACGGAAAGCTTTATCAAACATGTTGTTGGAATTACTCACTTTTCGTATATTGTTTTAATATCTATTCATAAAACACCCCTCTAGCTAATAATCACAACACGTGCATTGTCAACTTGCTCTTTGAGTTCAATGAAACAACATGAAAGGAATGTTGAATTCAGTTTGTGTACACAATTTTTGCTTATTATTTGTTTGATAATTTCTAAAATAATAAAACTATCATTTCTAATTTATTTTATGCGTCTGTTATTGTCTTGACCAACACAAACCGTAATCTGTACACATTAACATGACAAGAGCATATACGTGTACGCATTACAGGATCAAAATCATCATGTCATTCAACAAAGGAGGAACATGTCACATAGGTAAGCACAATAACTTCGTGTCACGCAAGCACAACTCAAAAGAACGTGTCATACATTGCATGTTAAAACATCTTACATCATTATATAGGTATATCAACCAATTAACATATCGTGCGGGTATATAACACATGTCCAAGTCTTACCAAACATCACAGAAACCTGTCACATTGATAATCGTCATAGAAAAATGTACCATATCATGGAATTTTACTCTATTCTTTGCGTACATTTTCAGTTTCAAGTTTAGATGAACTGACGGCAGAATTAGTGGTTTTGTTATCCTCCTTTGCAGCATACATTATTGATTTTACATAACTATACAATTGATAATATGAAATAGGCACTGCCTATAAGCGAGCGCACATAGTTCGGTTACCTTTGTGATGATAGTGTAGATCTCGGGTGCCTGCAGCGCCCCAGCTAAGGGCTTTAAGGTTACAAAACGAACAGAATCCCTCCTTAGGACAAAGGTGCATCAAATATTCTGACATGAAAAAGAAATAAATGGTGGTTATAAAAAATAGAATCTTAATTAAGAAAACCTGCCAGATATTTTATGTAGGCCTTTTTGTTGTTATTCGTATAAAGTTATATACGTCTCTGTTTCAACACCTTTGTCAATATATCGCCTGATCCCTTTTAGCATCAAAATTTGTCAAGACAAAATGACAGAAATAGGATCTAATTTGCAATATTTGTTAAAAAGGCAAAGTATTGCAATGC